TGTTGTTTTCTTCAGGTTCCGTCTTATGCCTTGTTGGGGATTCCACATGGAACTGCTTCTCCAAAGGAAACAACTTCTTTAACTCCTCTTGGAGACGCTTGTTCAAGACTTGATCTCACCGCTATACATGAAATTCTCGAAAAGGTTGGATACAAAGATGATGAGGGCATTGCAAATGAGGTATAGCTCAAAGCTTTGACCTTAAAGTTTAGAGCATTGTTGCAGAAAACAAGATCTTCTGTAATCTTCTACTGAGATCATCATTTTTAATTGTCTGATGAACATAACGAGATGATCATTTTTTCATCTGCAATACAGCTCTCGTTCCAAGTGTGGACTGACCAGATTCAGGAGACTCTAAACTCCAAGAAACAAGGAGATGCTGCTTTCAAAGCCAGAGACTTTGTCACTACCATAGAATGTTACACGCAAGTAAGGAATTTTTAAAAGAAGGTTACTTTCTTGAAACCAAGTAACATATTTCCCTGAAAATTTAACTCAATCCGTGTTTCTGCGTGCCCTAATTGTATCTGCAGTTCATTGACGATGGCACAATGGTATCGCCAACGGTTTTTGCGAGGAGGTGTTTGTGTTATCTGATGAGCAACATGCCCCAGGAGGCTCTCGGCGATGCAATGCAGGCGCAAGTAGTGTCTCCTGAGTGGCCAACAGCTTTCTATCTTCAGGCTGCTGCTCTCTTCAGCCTCGGAATGGACAAAGACGCTTGTGAAACCCTAAAAGATGGAACTTCCTTGGAAGCCAAGAAACAGAACAACAGAAACTGAAAACTTGGAGTGTATAGGTTTCTTCTCTCTTTCGTTTTCTTCGTTTTCTGATTGGGATTCTGATGAAAAAGCTTCATTGTCTGTTGTTTATTTGAAGCATTTGAGCTCAGCTCATGCTAAATTTGTGGTTTCCGATTTGAAGAGATGATTCAAAAATCCAAATGTAATTTGAATCAAGAAAAGAAGGATCTTTCTCATTTATGTCCAAGATGTCTTCTTTGAACATAATTTAAACTATCTTCCAATATTTATCTATTACAAGTCTTCTTCAAAGCCAAAGATGTTTGTGTCTGAACTGAAACCATAAGAGCCGAGACCCTCTTGACCACACAGAGGTTTCACCAAGCTGGAGTAAAGACGAATATTATACAAGATGTGAAGGCTCTCACAAGTCGCAACAATCTAAACACTACAAAGTTTTTACATCTACAAAACGTGTGAATAACCAAGCTACAGGAGGGATACGATTCAGTGACTGCAAGCGGCTCAAGAACAGGAGAAGAGCGAGCCCGTGCACGCGAAAGAGACAGACAGAGAGAGAGAGAGAGAGAGAGAGAGAGAGATGGAAATGGTTTCACTTGAGGACTTTGAAGTGAAAAAGCCAAGAAACAATGAAGGCGAAGACCATGGCGGCAAGTAGGAAGTTCATAACACGGCGACCATGCCACATCCCCCGTGGCGGCTCGGTCTGAGTCTGAGTTTGTCCTGCAGCTGCTTGTGATTGGGCAGAGGCAGTGCTCTCCGCGTTTGACTGTTCACCAGCCACGTTTATAGCCATTGCGCCGCATATCTCACATGTCCTGCTCAGATTCATAGAAACATATTGATAAATGCTTATCAGTATAGCCTTAGAGACTCTCTTTATCTTCTAACTAAACCGGTTTCTACTTCCTAAAGACAATGGAAGATTCTCAATTCAGCTGCAAATTCAAGTCTATATAAATTGAATGTTTTGAAGCAAACCAGAGAAACCGGCTTTAATTGAGACAACAAAAATCAATCCAAATGTGCAGGAAAATAAGAACATGCGACACAAGTTGACAACACATGGGAGCAAAAACTGAATTATTGGTGGCCACAAAAATAAAAACTGTAGATTCCAGCTTCAGTTAGACAATTTTTCTAAGAAGCAATCATATAGATCTCTAGAAATCAGAAAAAGAAGAAAAAAAATCTAAAAGTATACAAAACAAATAATTTTGTTTCCTCATTTGATCCATTACTATTTCCACATAATCACAAAAAAAAAAAAGAGTTTTTGAGAGAAAATTGAAGAGACACTTACATGTTTCCTTTGATCTTGAACCAAGTTTCAGCACACTTAGTGTGAGCAACACCCAAATCACCTTTACAAGAGCAGCCTAATTGCAGAGGCAAACCATAATACTCTTCTTCATCATCTTCTCTCCCTTCTTCTTCTTCATCTTCTTCTTGCTCATCAGAATTCTCATCATCTTCCTCATCTTCTTTGTTAGTCTCCAGAGGAAGATGACAGATCCTGCAATCTCTACCGCCTTTCTTCTTCTTCTTCCTCCTCTTCTTTCTCCTCCTCGTCCTCCTCTTCTTACCGCAGGAATGCAGGTTCTTCTCCGGCGCCGTCACACCGCCGCTCTCTAAATCGACCTCGGACAAGGAATCCAAGTCGGAGGAGTCGCCGTCGACGCTGATTTCGACGGAGTACGGCGAGTCTATTGGATTCGCCAAATGGTGATGAGATCCAAAAGCAAAAGAAGGCATTTTTTTTCTTGAGGATTAAAGCAAAGAGGACATGGGTTTTACGAGGAAAAGAAACAAAAGAAAGAGAGAAAAATAATTATAAACGGAAAAAGCTAATTTTGTCTTGGAGGGTTTATTGAGAAATTCGTATTAATTTCTTTTTTAATAACTTGCAGAGAGAAGAAATGTTGGAGAAAGAGAAAGGAAGAAGCTTTGGACAAAAGAGCAGCTTCTGTTCTGTTCTTTCAATTATTATTGTTTTTCTTCTTTTTTTTTTTTGGGGTTTAAAACAAAAATTATTTACTTCTTGTTTTTGTCTCCTTCAAGTTTGGAAGCTATTTCAAAACCTATTGCTTTTTAACATTGTTAGATCCCGTGGTACGGATTCATTATTTATGATTCCACATTGAATTTTCACTTGATTTGTTTTCATATATTTTGAATAAATCAAATTAGCTTCTCTCTTACATTTTTTTTCTTAGTAAGAGTGGATGGTTTACGTTATTCAAATTAATTCAGCAACTCTATCCGAAGTTTAATATTTTAGTAACTGTAAGTATGTACTTGTGTTTGTTTATCAAGTATCGATCACCTACTTCAGTTTTATTTAATGTTCTAATTGTCTGAGTTATGTTGATATGTATCCGTAACTTTTCACAATTTCTGAAAATTTAAATTGTAACTTAAGAAAAATGGAAGATGTTAAAGAAATGTTATAGATTTAGGATTGTGAGTTTTAAAATGAAGTACAAGGTACAAACCCACGTTACTAAAAACTTTATTGGACGGGAAAGAAAACGTTTTAGTACTTTTTCTTGATTTCTTCAATAAGTTAGGCTTTTCCTTTTTTCTCGAACAAAATATTTGTTTAGTAATTTACTTCTTTGAATTATATTACTTCTATAAAGGTTCATTCTATCTAATCTAGTACATTGCTTCAATCAATTGGAATTGGATTGTTTAGAAGTATAAAATTTGATATGTCCTAATAAATTCTGATTTTGATTTGAAGTTTGTTAGAATCTGTGTGGGGTTTCGTTGAAAGTATATAAACAGGAGGTCATATTAAAAATGCTAGGAAGTTGAGGGGCTTTGATGAAACAGGACATAGAAATCACTGTCAATGTCAGTGGCTGTGTCTGGATGTAACAATGTTGGCTGGGAGGAAACTCACCGTTTCTTTAATAATTGTTTGTAAAGAAAAATAAAACAAGACCACAACTTTAAAAAGCTATTTTAAGAGAAAACACATATTTTGATTTAAACAGTACTCGTGGTTAAGAAATGTAAATCTCTTTTTATTTTAAGCATATGTTTTTATTCTGTAAATGAAAATATAGCCTTATTTTTCAATCATATTTGATCTTACTAGCTATATGATACATATTTTGCGTAAAGTAGTTATAAAACTAAATGTACATATATTTTTTATATACCGACTAATTCAAGTTTCACAAATGTTCGCAAATCATTTTTGTTCTTTTTTAATAGAACTAAGTGAAAATTTTGGCTATCCAGTGATAAGCCCAAAAGCTATAAGATGAATGTATTTTTGTATGTAAATATACTTAGCGATATAAAATGTAATCAACACTACATAAATCTGAAACCATTTTTACAAGATATTATACTTTTCTTACTTTATTTTTATTATGACATTGGAGGCATAAAATAATGTGAAGCAGCAAATAACACGTGAACACTTTGTAGACATAATAACACACGCGTGGAGAAACCATAGACGTTGAGTAATTGAGTTGCCTGGGAACACCATGAATACGCCAGGCCTTTCGCTGCGTTTTAAAGCCGATAGGTAAAAGCTCCTGAGGCTTTGACATGTCACCACCTCTCTCGAAGGTTCTTGGTGAGACAGGTATGAACACCTCATTTGGTCTAAAAGTTATCATGCACGATTAATCATCGGAAAAATGCACTTGTAAGAACAAGGCCTATGATAGTGGCTGTTTATGTTATGGGCTTTGATACTTGCTGGATAGAGTGGATAATTCTATGTTTAAAGCAAGTACACAGTAATGTGTCTTACTCTATATTGATCAACGGGCAGCTCGCTAAGAAACACTTATCCATCAATCAAATCACTAGCCCAAAAACAATAGCTTTAACGATGTCTATGATACAAAAAGAAACAAAAAAAAAAGCAAAGGAAAGATAGGTTAAGTTCTCTATGAAAAATGGAACAAAACCAGCTTTGATGCAGCTTTATTAAATGTTTAGAACCAGAAGATCTCCTACAGAACAAGCTCATACTTAACAGTGGTAAAACACTAGGCTCAGTGATGCAGCCAGAACAAATTCTTATTCAAAAGAAGCATCAAGTCTTAACAAAAGATGAACGATCATTCCAGAGATTATGGATCATTTCCTACAAAAGCTATAACGAATTCAAAGAAACTACTGAGTAACAACAACAACTGTATCAAAAGAAACCCCAAACAGGCATCTCGAGAAGTACCCACAACAATGGAAGAAGTAAACAGATCAGGCAGCTTGGACATTAGCGGCTGCAGAGTTTGTTGCAGGTTCTGCTGTCTTTGTAAGGTTTGGGATATACTTCCAGCAGCGCTTGTGAACTCCACTTATCTTCTTTGGAGCTTCCGCAGCTTTCAAGCCTGCATTTTGACAATATGTTTGTATGTTAGTCTCATGGAAGTAACTGCATAAAACTAAACCTCCTCTCATAACTCAGAATCTCAACACCAATGCAAATTAAGGCCATCGAGTTTCATATACACAAAAGACTGAGCAAACAGACGATGGAACAAAACTCACCATCTTTGTGAACAATTCCCCAAGCTTTGCCATGCCTACCATCCTGCATTTGAATTCACCCCAAATCAGCTAAAGAAAATGAAAATGCCCAGAAGTAAAATCTTCAATCAAACATGGATTTACGAAATGAATATCACCCAGAAAAATCAAGCCAACAATCCAATCAATTCACTGGAAAATGGAACGAAAATGAAGAGAATTCATAGGATAATTTCTTCATTCGCGAGGAGGAAGAAGAGAAAGAAGAAACCTTGTAGAGATTGATCTTAGTGATTTCGTAAGAGATTCCGTTCCAGTGAGCTTTAGCCAGATGGTATCCGATTCCCCAATTGGGTAAGAACTGAGCGACCTCGATTAGGTTCTTCTTCTTCTTCCGCTTGGGCTTGATCGCATCGGAGCTAGGGTTTTCGCTCGGCGGAGATGCCGGCGCAGAGAAATTTCTCAGGAGGTTGAGCGAGAGTCTGAAAGCTCCGACGGATTCGGGTCTAGAGACTGCTCTATTCATAAGCGTCGCCGCCATTGTCTCTCTATCTCTATATCTCTTGTTTCCCGTCAATGTTGGATTCTGGCTGATCGGCGACTGAGGTTTTAGGAGAAAGGGGAAGGAGAGAATCACAATTTTCGGTTTATTCACAAACAGAATCAATAGTCTTTGATAAATTACAATACAACCCCAATACTTCTGCATTTGACCAATTTTACACCTTTTACAGGGGAGATAACAATGAGATTGTTTTTCTTTGATTGCTGTATATACTGTTGCTTAAATAAGTCTAACTCTTAAATGAAAGAATCTTATAACTAGGTACTAACTAAAACCAAACTTGTGAGGATTAACATGTATATAAATTTTGCATGGACATGAAAGAGTTATGACCATAGCATAAAAAAAAGAATCAGTAGCCATAATAGAACACAGTGCAGGTAAATAATCTGAAGAAAACATATTTTTATTTTGTTTTTGTAAATTGATAATGAGAACAATAACAGAAGTTTACCAAAGTACATATTACTGAAATACTAGAAAGAAAAGTTTTTGTTTTGTTTTGTTTTTTTTTTTAAAGAAGGAAACGCTTAAAACTTGCTGCATGAATTCAGATAGGATAAAAGGTGCTGGAGAATGTTCACCAGCAGGATTTGCCGCCAGATGTTTTGAGTTTGGCCTTGTAATGGAATTGAGTACGATGATCACATTTATGGATTGCCTTTAGTTTTCCTCTTTCTACTAGATCACATAGCAAAAAAGAAACATATCAGCTTACAAGTTCAAAGGTATCAACATCATTATTGAAGAATAATATAGCTTGAAAAGACTTACGTTTTAGGTTTCTTCGCAACCTTCTTGTTCTGTTGGTCCTCCTTGTTGATCTGAGAGTGCAAACCTTCACCTTCAACAGGTCCTGCCGCCCTTTTTCTAGAATTTGGAAAAGGTTCCATATCTCCCTAAAGAAATAAACAAACCCAAAAGAGAGAGAGATATGAATATTCTGAGAGACATGGTAATAACAAATGAAGAAGTAAAATCTAAATACTAAAGATCTTAACTGATCCACCACCACCGGGAAGTCCATGATAGGCATCTCTACTCGTCATTCCAACATTTCCAGGACGAAGAGCATAATTCTCATGAGGCATTACCAAAGGTCTCTGGTCAAAGCCTCTGTACAATGGAGTTGGAGAAGAATATCCAGGTCTTGGACCACCATTCCTTTCCATGTAATATCTCTTGTTGAAATACTCGAGAACATAATTCAAATGTCGAAGCTGACCTGGACCTAATGGGGCATTACGGTCCACTGGAGCACCAAGCATAGAAAGGTAATCAGTTCCAGTACCAAGCGTAGAAGGATAATCATGGATTAATAGCTTCTACACAGGACTATGAGGACAAACATGACTGAAACGGTCTCAAGCCAAGGGAGGAACATCAAAATGGACCAAATTTGGGAACCGGAAGGGGTAAGGAGTCCGAAATGTACCTCTGAGACTCCAGATTGAGGAAACTCACTTGTAGTGTATAAGATGAAACTAGATGGTTCCATACTTACCCAAACATGGATTAATAGCTTCTACACATGACTATGAGGACAAATATGACTGAAACGTCTTAATCCAAGGGAGGAACATCAAATGGACCTAATTTGTGAACCGGAAGAGGTAAGGAGTCCGAAATGTACCTCTACTATAGGATTCTTCCCTAGATTCGCTCGGCGATTCCCAACAAGTGTTGGTTGATTTGGCTGCTGTGTTTGCATCGTAGGAAGATAGATATGTTGGGGAACATGATGTTGCACATGAGGAGGTTGAGTGTTAGCTTGATTATACACTTGCATGTTGTTTGGGGAAGCTCTTGCCTGGTTTGTTTGCTGTCCACTCCCATATGCATGTGGCTGGTGTGAGTGTGACTGGCCCTGGCTAATAGCATTGTGTGGCACACTTCTTTGAACAGTGCCGGCTTGAGTGTGCATAGGGTTTGGCTTGTGAAGCTGATGAGATGGAATTTGATATTGAGGAACTTGCAGGTTCTGTAAATGGTGAGCTTGTGAAAGAGGTGTTGCTTTGGAATGCGCCTGAGCTTGCAAGTTTTGGTGACCTTGAGAAGGTGCGAATGTCTGTGACAGGTCTTGCGAAAGGTAAGCTTGGTCTAGCGAAGCTGCACCGCTCTGTAGAGCTGATGATAAAACAGCAAGAGGCTGATGTAGCTGTGGTTGTAGCTGTGGTTGAGCTTGCACTTGAGAGTGAGTTTGAGCCACATATTGACTTGCTGGCTGCACAGAGGGCACTTGATGCTGGCTTGCAAGATGCAATTGCTGTCTAGGGATTGCCACAGGAACATATTGAGGTTGATGCATGTTGTAGTAGGGCGGCTGATATTGTTGTTGCTCACGAGCCGGCGTTGCAACAACTACAAACCGACCATGAGGACTCATTTCAACCTGACCTTGCTGCATTCAATGAAACTATTTAGGATACATAACACATGGTAAAAAATCAAGGAAATTAAACAAACAGATTATCTCTTGGTTTTGACGTAAAATTTTGTTTGAACAGACTCACATGACAAACTTGAGCATGCCCCTCTGCTTGATGATGCGGAATTTGAATCTGGCACACACTGCATGCAACGCGAGAAGTACGAAAAGCACAAAACAAGCAATGTAACGGGATCTGAGACAGAGGGCCAATCCATGTGCATCCACTTTTTTGGTATGAACAGTAAACCAATATTTCGCCAAATGTATCAGCCAACTCTTTGTTTGATTCCACGAGTAGCTGGAAAAAAAAATGAAGATTTGGCTTTGATGATTAAACAAAAGAGACAAAAGAGACACCAAGACAACTTTTTAAAGAAGAAAGAAAAACCTTTGCATCAGTGTCTGTGACCAAAGAACCATCGAGAGGACACGTCATGGTGGTGCTTGCGACGTAAGCTAAACATTGCGGACAGTATAAGTGAGTGCACAGAGACCGGAGAGCTTCGTTTGGGTGCACAAGAAACCGACAAACAGGACAGAAACACTCCCCGGGAAGCAATTCAATAATGTTCGGTATGCACTCAATATCGAAACCCATTGGATTCGGATTTCAAGTGTTGTCGTCACCTAATCACAAAGCAAAAAAAAAACAAAGAAAGTCTGAGATTTCATTAACATGAACTAAAACACAATCAATAGCTTCGTAATAGAATGAGATTTCATTTCACAAAACAGAAGAGATTATACAGTTTTTACATAGAGTTACTAACACATCACAAATAATCATCGCATGGAAAGATAAGAGAGAAAATTAAATAGCTATGAGATCTAAAAACATTTCATTTTTTTTTTCTTATCCCTTTATTCAAGTCCTACAGGCAACCCAAAATCATCTGAATATACAAACACTTTCTCAAGCTTCCCTCAATCAATTTACAAAATCCTAGTTTATATGGATTACAAAACAAATTGGAAATGAAAGACGAAGGAAATTACGAGAAACAATGTTAGGATTCCTTGGACAAAACTAAAAGTGGAGATGAATACGAAACCAAAACGTCACTGATGAAAGTTACGAGAAACTTACGAGTGAGAAAATTGATATGGCCGAGAGAGAAAGAGAGTCGAGTAGGAAACAGGATAAGAGTATTTTTTTACTGTTTTCTACTTTAATTTTCTTTGAAACTGAGAAAGCTTAATCTTTGTATTTTCTTTCATAAACACATTCTACAAATAATTTTTGCAATTACACTATCTAATGAAATCTGGTAGTCCAATCAGATTTCAGAATCAAAAGATAAGTTTATTTATTTTATTAATTTATTTTAATGAAATTATACCAGTATTAATCTCCGTATTTTATAAATTCATAAATATAATATATGTAAAGGTAACATTTGCTAAAAAGGAAATATATTAATTCAAAGTTGAAATATATTTTTCCTAAAAGAAGAAAAATTCAATTTTACACTTTAACTTTTTTAAACCTCCAAACCATGCATGTCCCAGTTAGCTGTAAACAAGTTTCCATTTGTCAAAAAGAAAAGAAACAAAAAAAACAGCTCTAATTTATTAGCAGAATATTTTTAGGGAGGAAAGAAGAAACCCCAAAAATCCAAACTTGAAAATTATAAATCAAATGAAAGGTGAAAACCAAAATAAATCTGTCCATCAAATAAAAAACCAAGATACGTTTGTTCGCTTTAAAATAAAATAAAAATTAAAACGAATTCAACGCTATAAAACTTTCTCTTTGAATTTTTGGGTAAATTTAATCATATATGGAAGATAATCTATTTGCCAACTAGATAAGTTCATGCATGTTCTTCTTTACGTCTTCTCTCGTTTTCTTTCTTTCTGGTTTCAGTGTAAGAAAATTATCCTAGGCTCAGTGATGCATGCACATACAAATCTTTAACTCTAGAAGCATAAAGTCTTAATAAGATGACCGAAAAAAAACGATCATCATTCCAGAGATTATGGATCATTTCCTACAAAGCTATCGACGAATTCAACGAAAAATATCGAGTAACAAGAACTGTATCTTCCATAGGAAATACCAAAAAAGAACGCAAACAGATATATCGAGAAGTATCCACAGCAATGGAAGTAAACAGATCACGCAGCTTGGACATTAGCGGTCGCATAGAGTCTGTTGCAGCCTTGCAGGTGCGGTCTTGGTAAGATTTGGGATATACTTCTATTCATAAGTGTCGCCGCCTCTCTCTCTCTCTCTCAATGTTGGATTCTGTCTGATCGGCGACTGAGGTTTCAGGAGAAGGAAGGAGAGAAGAATCACAAGTTTTCGGTTTATTCACAAAGAGAACGAATAATTTTTGCTAAACTACAGTCCCATCCCATTAATTCGATCTGCAATTTTGACTAACTTTATTTGTTACATGATCTGTGTGGTACATGTTTTATATAGCCTATATATTCTAAGAAAACCATGTCCTCATATTCTTTTTCTTTCGTTGTATACATGTCATTCCGTAATATACTGTTGCCTAAATAAGTAAAACTTTCAAATGAAAGAATCTAATAAATTTGCATCTGCTAGACTGCTACTCTCTCTGCTACCCCACTAAAACACTTGCGAAGTTTAACATGTACAGTATATATATTTTGACACCTTAATTCGTTCGCATGGACATGTAACATGTTATGACCAGATCATACAAAAAGCATTAAGTAGGCAAATAATAGAATGCAAAGCAGGAGAATAATCTTAAGAAAACATATTTTTTTGTTCTTTTCTGAATAACTTGATAATGAAAAAAATAACAGAAGTTCTCCAAAGTACATAATAATGAAAGTACAACAAGGGATTTTTGTTTTGTTTTTTTTTAAATAGTTTGAGAAAAAAAAGCTTAGAACTTCTGCAGAAATTTTGATAGGATAAGAGGTGCTGGAGAATGTTCACCAGCGGTATTTGCCTTCAGATTTATCCTAAACCTCCGGATCCACGGCTCCACCGCCTCCAACGGATCCACTGGCTCCACCGCCTCCACCGGCTCCACCGGATCCACTTTCTTCATCTTCCTTTGGGTTGATACATGGAGAATCACCCGCATGAGTTCTACATGATAATATAACAGAAAACAAAAATGTCAACTTAGAAGTTGATGATACAAATGTGAGCCAAAAGTCTGTTTATGAAGAATAATAGCTTGAAACAAAAACTTACTTTTTAAGTTTCTTTGCATTAGGGTTGGTCTCCAAGACCGTATCCGTTGACTCCTGCTCGGGCTCCTTGGTTTGAGAATCCAAATCTAAACCTTCCTCAGGTTCGACCGCCCTTTTTCTAGGATTTGGATTAGGTCCCATGTCTCCCTAAAGAAGCAAAGAAACCAAAAGAGAAAGAGAGAGAATGTGAATATGCTTAGAGACATATAGTATAAAAAATGCAAAAGAAAGTTTAAATGTCAAAGAACTTAACTGATGATGATCCACCATCTCGGAAAAATCCGTGATAGGTGAATCCAAGAATTCCCAGACCACAAGACTTGCTCTTAAAGTCAACTCCCTCTTCCATCACTCGCTTTCCTTTGAGCTCATGCCTAGACTTAGCTGTAGCTTCAACAGCATGATTCACATCATTCACACCGTTGAGGCTTAATCGAGACTGGTTAGCTTGAGGAGACGGTGGAGACTGTGGAGGTGAGGGAACATGCGGAGACTGTGGATCTGGCTGACGTGAATGTGACGGACCCTCGCCAAAATGATTGAGTGCTTGGGGTAGGGAAGCTGATGGGGAAACATCATGAGGCTGATGTAGAGCCAAAGTCAGAGATAGGTGTTGTGGTTGAGCTCGCAGAGGAGAGTGAGCTTCAGCCACATATGGAATTTCTGGCAGCACATCGGGCACTTGATATTGGTTTGGAACATCATCAGGTTGATGCATGTAGTAGTACCACGTACCGTTTTGGTAGTACATCTGATGTTGCTGTGGTGGGTACCATTGAGCTTGAGGAATCATTTGAAGCTCAACTTGAATTCCCTGAAACCATTTATTACAAAAAAAATATTAGTAAAAAGATTAAGGAAACAAGCAGAAAATTTGGTTAAAAGACTCACAGGACAAACTTGAGCGTGCTCCTCTGCTTGACGATGCGTCATTTGAGTATGACATACAGTGCATTCACCAAGACGAAAACCAAAGACACATCTTGAGCAGTGTGATCGGACCGCAGACAGAGAGCCCATCCATGTGCATCCACTCATTAGGTATGGACAAAACACAAGAGTTTCGCCAATAGTTTCAGCCAACTCTCTGTTTGATTGCACGAGTGGCTGTAAAAAAAATACAAAATGACGATTTGGGTTTGATGATTAAAGAAAAGAGACAAAAGAGGCACCAAGACAAAAATAAAAAAGAAGAAGAATGAAAAACCTCTGCATCAGCTTCTGTGACCAAGGAACCATCATAAGGGCACGCCCTAGTGGTGCTTGCGACGAAAGCTAAACATCGCGGACAGAATAAGTGAGTGCACAGAGACTGGAGAGCCTCGTGGGGATGGACCAGAAGATGACAAACGGGACAGAAAAACTCCCCGGGAAGCAATGCAAGATCCGGTATGCACTCAAGATCGAAACCCATTGGATTCGGATTTCAAGGGTTATCTCACCTAACCACAAAACAAAAACCAAAGAAAGTCTATGAGTTATCTTATAACATCAACAGCAAACAATCAATAGCTTCGTAATGGAACTGAGATTTCATTTCACAAAAATATGAGAGATTATTCAGTTTATACGTACATAGAGTCACAAACACACCACAAAAAATCCCCGCATGGAGAAAGATAAGTGAGAAAATTAATTACTATGAGATCTAAAAAAAATATATTTTTTTCTTATCCTTTATTCAAGTCCTACACGTACAACTCAAAATCATCTGAATATACGAACACTTTCTCTAGCTTCACACAATCAATTTACAAAATCCTAGCTTTTAATGGTTACAAAGCAAATTGGAAATGGAACACAAAGGAAATGACGAGAAACAACGTAAGGATTCCTAGGACAAAACCAAGAGTGGAGATGAATACGACAACAAAACGTAAAAGTTACATGAAGCTTACGAGTAAAAAAATGATATGGCCGAGAGAGAAAATTAATTACTATGAGATCTAAAAAAAAAAATTCATATTTTTCTTATCCCTTTATTCAAGTCCTATACGTAACTCAAAATCATCTGAATATACGAACACTTTCTCTAGCTTCCCACAATCAATTTACAAAAATCCTAGCTTTTAATGGTTACAAAACAAATTGGAAATGGAACACAAAGTGAAACGACGAGAAACAACGTAAGGATTCCTCGGACGAAACCAAAAGTAGAGATGAATACGACAACAAAAAGTCACTGATAAAAGTTACAAGAAGCTTACGAGTAAGAAAATTGATATGGCCGAGAGAGAAAATTAATTAATATGAGATCTAAAAAAATATTTCAAATCTTTCTTATCCCTTTATTCAAGTCCTACACGTAACTCAAAATCATCTGAATATACGAACACTTTCTCTAGCTTCCCACAATCAATTTACAAAATCCTAGCTTTTAATGGTTACAAAACAAATTGGAAATGGAACACAAAGTGAAACGACGAGAAACAACGTACGGATTCCTCGGACGAAACAAAAAGTGGAGATGAATACGACAACAAAAAGTCACTGATAAAAGTTACAAGAAGCTTACGAGTAAGAAAATTGATATGGCCGAGAGAGAAAATTAATTAATATGAGATCTAAAAAAATATTTCAAATCTTTCTTATCCCTTTATTCAAGTCCTACACGTAACTCAAAATCATCTGAATATACGAACACTTTCTCTAACTTCCCACAATCAATTTACAAAATCCTAGCTTTTAATGGTTACAAAACAAATTGGAAATGGAACACAAAGTGAAACGACGAGAAACAACGTACGGATTCCTCGGACGAAACAAAAAGTGGAGATGAATACGACAACAAAAAGTCACTGATAAAAGTTACAAGAAGCTTACGAGTAAGAAAACTGATATGGCCGAGAGAGAAAATTAATTACTATGAGATCTAAAAAAATATTTCATATCTTTCTTATCCCTTTATTCAAGTCCTACACGTAACTCAAAATCATCTGAATATACGAACACTTTCTCTAGCTTCCCACAATCAATTTACAAAATCCTAGCTTTTAATGGTTACAAAACAAATTGGAAATGGAACACAAAGTGAAACGACGAGAAACAACGTACGGATTCCTCGGACGAAACCAAAAGTGGAGATGAATACGACAACAAAAAGTCACTGATAAAAGTTACAAGAAACTTACGAGTAAGAAAACTGATATGGCCGAGAGAGAAAATTAATTACTATGAGATCTAAAAAAATATTTCATATCTTTCTTATCCCTTTATTCAAGTCCTACACGTAACTCAAAATCATCTGAATATACGAACACTTTCTCTAGCTTCCCACAATCAATTTACAAAATCCTAGCTTTTAATGGTTACAAAACAAATTGGAAATGGAACACAAAGTGAAACGACGAGAAACAACGTAAGGATTCCTCGGACGAAACCAAAAGTGGAGATGAATACGACAACAAAACGTCAGTGGTGAAAGTTACAAGAAACTTACGAGTGAGAAAATTGATATGGCCGAGAGAGAAAGAGAGTCGAGAGTAGGTGACAGGATAAGACAAATTTTTTTTACTGTTTTCTACTTTTCTTTGAAACTGAGACAAAACATGAATACAAGTGAAAGCATTGTGTTTGCTTTTATAATCACTTTCTACAACCAACTTTTGCAATTACACTAATAAAATCTAATTATCCAATCAAATTTCAGTATTTCAGTATCTGTAGATAAGTTTCTGAAGTATTCCTTAAATTACAAAAGGTATATAACACATGTGGTTAATATTTAAAATAAAAAGGTAAGTTCAGATTTTTTCAAATTATTTCTTAATTTAATGAATTACTACTAATGGAATTATAATTTCAATTATTGTACATTTTATTATATATGAAAGAAATATTTATTAACTGGATAAGCTCCTCCATGTGAATTCATACACCTGTATTTTTTTCCCTTTTATTATAGATTTGGACAAATCTATTATATTCAAAGGTAAGCTTTGCTAAAAAAGGAGATAATCTTCACCAAAGGTGAAATATTTGTTTTCTACTTTTTAAAAAATGTCCATTAAAGAAAAATGGAAAGATACATCTGTTTGCTTTTCAAAAAAAAAAAAATTTTAAATGAATTTGAGAGGCTGTCAAACTTTCTATTTTAATTTTTGGGTAAGTTGGATAAGCTCCTCCATGTGAATTCATACACCTGTATTTTTTTCCCTTTTATTATAGATTTGGACAAATCTATTATATTCAAAGGTAAGCTTTGCTAAAAAAGGAGATAATCTTCACCAAAGGTGAAATATTTGTTTTCTACTTTTTAAAAAATGTCCATTAAAGAAAAATGGAAAGATACATCTGTTTGCTTTTCAAAAAAAAAAAAATTTTAAATGAATTTGAGAGGCTGTCAAACTTTCTATTTTAATTTTTGGGTAAGTTTTAATCATATATGGAAGGATACAGTATTTGCCAACCAGATAATTTTGTTTCTCTTTTTTTCTCCTTCTAGTTTCTATCTTGACTTTCTATTTGAATTTTTGGGTAAATTTAATCATATATGGAAGAGATTTTTTTTTTTTTTTTTGTTAAAGCATATATGGAAGAGATATATACAGTATTTGCCAGCCAGATAATTTCATGTTTCTCTTTTTGTTCTTTCTGTTTTTCCATTGATTTCAATTTAGTGTATGAAAATGATCCCAAAACATCAGACTGGTGTTCTAACTTCTAAGGTGAAAACTTGAAAAGTAATAAATCGAATGAGGAGTGAAAAGTGAAAAGTGAAAACCGAAATGAGAAGGACACGTAAGCTAAAGACAGAATCATTTTCCTTCGTCGTCTATTGAGCTAACATCAGATGGTAACCTTCCAGCAGAGGTAGAGGGTATGCATGAGACTATGAGAGTGCTAATGACGTGTTTAATATTTTTAATATATTTTGGTTTAAGACGTGTTTAATGTTGGTTTGAAAACAGATTAGATCTTAAATTCAATTACAAATTAGAGAGAAAACAAAAAAAAGAAAGCTTGAATAGTAACACGATGGATTGAGACTCTGTACTTGTTTTCTGAAAATCGTTACGCCATTGTAGTCGCTTTTAAATCTTGATCTCGCTTTTTTCTTCATTATTACTACTTTTACATCATTGAAGCGAACCACCATTTCTGAGATCATCAATTCATCGTCCTTGTCACAGAGAAAGTGGAGGAGTTCTTAATTTAGCTCTCCTTCATTTTGCGGAATCGGTGTGTGCATCCGAGATTTCGCTTTATCGTGTTCTCATCTGTATAGAACAAAAACAATGGCGGATCTCAAACCCAGGATCGAGATTTCGTTCCTTGAAACCTTCATTTGTAGCGCTTTCGCAGCTTGTTTCGCAGAGGTATCTACTTCCACTCCCAGATTGGTTTTCGTTTTCACACTCGATTGATTTTGCGCAATCGCAGATGGGAAACTTTGAGTCGGTGAATTTTTCCTGGATTCGATTAGTGTTAGTGTTAATTTCGCATCTGTTAGTAATTTCTTCAGTTTAATCACTAGCCAGAGAAATTCCTTTCAGATTCGCCTGTATTTTTTTGCTGAATCTTCGAAGTTGAGCTGGATAAACTTGAAGACTGATGTTACTGAAATTGACAATTTCTCTCTTTTTTCTGCTCTATGTGGAAGAAAAAGAAGATACTATTGATGGTCTAGTCTACGACTCTAAGTCTATTAATTGAGAATTTTCGTGGTGATGATTGAGATTTTGAGCTATATACTACTATGCATCTAGTGTTTTGAGAAATTTGGCAAAGCAATTAAGTGCGAATTTTCTACATTTTCAACAAATTGACTTTTTGTGTGTTTTCAACTCTGCTTCACTACCTGTTGCTTTACTCTCCTTTTAAGTCTCTTGTGATATTTAGTAAAATCCTGATTCACATTTGACTGCCTAACGAGTTAATGATGTTGCAGTTATGTACTATACCATTGGACACAGCTAAAGTAAGGCTTCAGCTTCAAAGAAAGATCCCAACTGGAGACGGTGAGAATTTGCCAAAGTACAGAGGCTCATTGGGTACGCTCTCTACCATAGCGAGAGAAGAAGGTATTTCTGGGCTTTGGAAAGGTGTAATTGCAGGACTGCATCGTCAATGCATCTATGGTGGCTTAAGGATTGGGTTATATGAGCCTGTGAGTCTCAAGATTACTTAAAGTTCCTTCTCTGGTGCTCTTTCTTTTTGTATATAATCAATGAATTGTCTTACCTTGCTATATCTGGCTAGGTCAAGACATTTTTGGTTGGAAGTGACTTTATTGGGGATATTCCACTATATCAAAAGATTCTTGCAGCTTTATTAACCGGTGAGTTTCAGTTCTTGATTTTGATCCTCTTTTTGGAGTAATTTGAGTAAAAGCTTGACATAATAGAGGAATCTTTTTTGTAATTTTGTGACAACAGGAGCTATAGCTATTATAGTAGCTAATCCAACCGATCTTGTTAAAGTTCGGCTTCAGTCAGAAGGAAAACTACCAGCTGGTGTTCCTAGGCGTTATGCAGGAGCTGTAGACGCTTATTTCACCATAGTGAAGTTGGTTAGTTAACAAATCTTTAAATACAAAACGTCAAAATATATTAGGTTACTTAGCAGAGAGTTATAGCCTTTTGATTCATAAAACAGGAAGGAGTTAGTGCGCTGTGGACAGGGCTTGGCCCTAATATTGCAAGGAACGCTATTGTAAACGCTGCAGAGCTAGCTAGTTATGATCAGATAAAGGAGGTGATTGATATTTCTTTCTCAGTAATTAATGTTTGTGATTGTTTATAAATGAATGTTTGGCTTCTACTGGCGTTTGGCTTAGTCTTTGTTTGTTTTTAATACGTCCGTACATATGCAGACAATTATGAAAATTCCAGGCTTCAGAGACAGTATTTTGACTCATCTACTAGCTGGTTTAGCTGCAGGATTCTTTGCTGTCTGTATTGGATCTCCGATTGATGTGGTAAGTATAAGTATTCATTTTCTTCCTTTACATAAAAACAAGAAGATTACAAGATCCTCCGCATTTTAGGCACCGGTAGTATCTAAATGATAGATCTGACACAAAAGCGCTAAATATCTAAATCAGTGACTATTTAAAGAACAAACACAAGAGACCATTAACGATTGAATTATACTAGTTCTAGATTTGTGGCAAAGATTGAACCTTATCGCAGAACTCCTATATATCTCTTTTGCAATATGGTGTCCCATGCATGGAATGGACATAGCACTACCTTGAAAATGACATTTCTGTAGCATCTCACATGTTTATGTCTTCCACGTTTATGCTTTTGATCTGACCTCTTGCTTGGCAATTTGACTTTGGCTAATGCAGCATTATTAGATAATAATGCTCTACCGAAGGAGACATTAGATTGTAGAGGAAAAAGAAAAAAGTGATGTATTTGGTATATTTTCCCTTGAGACGGCCATGGTTCTTCTTTTATGTGTTGTTCCAGGTGAAATCTAGAATGATGGGAGACTCTACTTACCGTAACACGATCGATTGCTTCGTTAAAACCATGAAGACTGAGGTTGATACCTTTCCACAGTCATGATTCTTTTAGTTCAAATTTAGCAAACTCTCTCTTTTGGTACTAATCATGTTTTGGTTTGCTATCTTCACAGGGAATTATGGCCTTCTACAAAGGGTTTCTCCCGAATTTCACACGACTAGGAACTTGGAACGTGGTTATGTTCCTCACACTAGAACAAGTACATAAGCTTTCTTCCCATATTCTCTTTGAACTTTTCATGATGATGATGATCAGTTCTGGTTTTAGCTCTTCTTTTAACCTTCTCTGTTTCGTCTTGACTCTGTGGCAGGTGAAAAAAGTGTTTCTAAGAGAAGTATTGTACGATTAATTCCGAACCCTCCTCGTAAAACCATACCTTATTACATAATGCCTATTAAAACCTCGAATTGTTAAGAGTATCTATACTTTTATCTTATGAGATTTCTCATTTAGATTAATATAGAAACATATTATCTTTTCAGAAACTCTGTTTTATATAAACGGATTCTTTATTTCAAGATCTTTCCAAAGCTAGATCGTCTTAAAAGCACAGGACATGACACTAATCCACACTGACATTAGGATTACAATGAAACCACCCGTTTAAGCCCTTGGAACCAAGTAGACTCTAGATTTGATGATTGATCCTTTCCCTTCATGGCTAAGCTTGAACCCTGGACAAACAGGAAACCCGACTACCTGACCCGCCGGAACACGGCCGTCCGAGAACCTCACCACGCTCTCCATATACTGAGAGTGAAACTCCGCTCCTCGGTTTGCTTCAAAGTGACTCGGTGATGGATCCAGCGAGAAGGCCAAGAGATGAAGCAGCCACACCGCTTTGGCCAACCCCAAGAACTCTCCATAGAACTGACTCCTCGGGTGGTTACCAGCAATAACCAGCTCCCGCTGCTCCGAGTCCCCGAACAACGACTCTTCCATCTTGTGGTGAATGATCGAAAGGTACTTCTTCGAACAGAACTTACCAAAATGGCAAGTCGGTAAGATCCCTAGCAGCTCCATTGGATCCATTGCTTTCATGTCTTTGTACTGTGCGAAGCAGTCACGACGGTACTGATCAGGGTTGATAAGAGAAGACAGGCTTCCGTCCATGTAGAACGTCTCGTGATCGAATCCTTGGAAGATCTTCCGGCAGATGTAAGACTCGAGAGCGAACTTCGCGTGCTGGTTCGGGACAGAGGACTGAACAGAGGATGCTAACGCTGACGCTGCCATGCCGTCCGATGCAGCTGAAGCGGCTTCGATGGAGCGAACAGCAGCTGCAATGTCCCAACGCGCAGCTCGCATTAGAGACAGTAGTACCCCTGTGAAGGTCTTTGATGCTTCTTTCACCTGAATCATCGTCATCTCGAATAACTCCGGCACCGGAGATACAGCAACTGTTCACAAAGTTAATAACGTTTTAGAGCTAATTCCAAACAGAAACAGAGTAAACAGAGTGCTAGGGATTTTGACCTTGAGTGCTGCAGTTAACTTTCCGGCTTGAGAGCAGACGGTGTTTCTTGCCGCCGTTACCGTTAGCCATGGAAGTTGTCATTTTGACTTTCTCCTTCAGATTCTCGATCTCAGTGTCTTTAGCCTTCACTTCTTTCTTAAGCTCCTTCACGACGGCTTCGTACGGCGCCACCGCCTCTCTCAGCATTCCCCTGCCGCTGTCGTTCTTCCTCCGGCCGCCGCCGCCTCCGCTGCCTCGCATCCTCCTGAACCTCTCCCTCAGCGAGCCGATCCTTCTCAGCTCAGCCACCATCGCCATGTCAGCGTCGTGCATCTTCTCCGGATCCCAAGGCGAGTGCGCTTCCTGAAGCAACACGTAAGCTCTCTTCAGAGCTGATGCCGCCGTGAACACTTCCTCCATCACCGTCTCCATGTCCTGCACCGCCTCCACACTCACGCCGTTCCCTCTTCCGCTCTTAGCCCTAACCGTCTCGTCTTTACCGTTTTCCTTCTCCAATGCGTCTTCGTACTGAATCTCTCCTTCCCCTTCCTCCACCTCCTCGTCCTCTTCCTCAGTGTCGTACTCTCCCCGGCGGTTTCCGGCGAGATCTTGCCGGCCGGCGGAGAGTGGATGCAACAAGCAAGACGCCGTCACTCGCTGAATCAGATCCGAGAAGTTTGAAACCTTGTTCGACATTTCTCCTCGCTTCTTCGTCTTGGAGAATTCGCCGCTCTTACTGCAAACGGAGTCAAATATCAGAAATGGTGGGAAACAAGAAATCAAACCTCCGGAATCTATGGACGGAAAAGTCACGGAAGCTTACCTGTGGGAGTGACGATTGTTGTTCTCCGATCGAAGAGCAAATCTCGGAGGATCTCGATTGAACTGAACTGAGTACCAGTAGTCAATGTCCTTAGGCTCAGTATCTAAGCTCTCTCGGTCACTCTTCTTCTTCTTACTGCACAGTGAAGTAAACCGTCTCCGACAGTCAATACCACCGGAATAATTACTGTCGCCGGCCGACGACCGAAATAACTGGAGATTTCTGATTAATGTTTCTATTATAATCTCTCAGTCAGACTCAGAGCAGTGGAGACTGGAGAGAAGAAGAGGCAATAGGAATTGATACACAATTACGGAAATACCCCCTTTTAGTTCTCTTACGTTTTGACCCCTGATTGACTTGTAAAACCTTATCTCAATTATGGGCCCTCGGGAAAAGTTTTGGGTCTTTCCATAACTTTCTTATTTATTTTCATGGTCGCACATGCTCCTCTTTTTATAAGTCAATATTTTTCAGTTTCTCCCTAACTAGCCAATGTTTTGGTTTACAATCCAACGTTAATTAATAGTATGAGGAAAAAAACAGAACGTTAAATTTATACTAGTACTATGAAAAAAATTCAACATAGAGTTCGTAAAATGCAATGAATATACTCTCCATCCGTTTTTTCATCGTTTAACACATTTCATTCTTAAAAAGAAAAAAACTTTGTTTTTGTATTGTCTTTTAAAAAGACAAAGTGTAATAAAGTAGTCATTTGGTAATTGTTTTTTTGTACTTTTTTGTTAATCTCTGGTTTGATTGGTCGAGGAAGTGATTCCGTAAAGATCATGTCATAGAATTTGTCTTAATCATGTTCACAAAGAAAATCATTATCCCTTTTTACATATACTATATACTAAGGATATATCAAAATATATCGATAAATCCAAACCTATCATGAAACCCGATTTAAGAAATACACTTTTAAACTATCATACTGATTACTGAATTGAAACCACAAAACATATTTATTCCGAGGGAAAGAAAAATGAATATTCACCTGTGGTTCTTGGGATTAAGTGAGCATAACAGTATGCCTGGCAACATTTTCTCTCTTTCTAATATATGAAGAAGAAGAAGAGTGATATGAAATTAAGGTTCAAAGGTTGGCATATATAAATAGAGCATTCAACTGAAGATTTTTAGGGGAAGAGGCCAATGAGGAAAAGGGTTTTGATGTGACAAGTATCAAACTCTATTATTAAATAATGAAACATATAATTGCGGGGTGGGATTTTCTTCCTTGTTTTATGTTTCGACATCTAGCCATTTGTTGTGTAGTTTGTTCTTGCATATCATATAAACTCCATTTTGGAAACACGACAAAACGATTTTGATCGAAAATGTTATCAAGTATAAATGAGAAATGCATGACTTAAAAAAACCAAAAAAATTTCCTCCATCTGTTTGTTGGTTGGCGAGAAAGTAACTTTAGCTTAGTTATCGAATGAAAAGATCGAATGAATTTCTTTTCATTCGTTTGAAGAGTCTAAAAAAGACGCCTTGTCAAATATATTCATTAATCTTTTGTAAATCAGATCATTGTTGTGAAAAATAAAGATCATGATCAATGATGAATTGCGCAAGCTGTGAAAAGGTAAGTCGCTTATAATCTTGAACGTCATTTGCTACATTTCTTGTTTAGATGATTGCTTTCAGTCGTGTTGCTTGTGTATATATCTTTTCTATGTGTCTCCCTTGTTTTTTATAGGGATGATGGTGCTAACTAAGTCTAGTTCTTGCAAGATGATTGCTTAAAAAGTTAAGTATCTTTTCTTTAAATTTAGAAGTCAAAGTTTATCTTCGTCACTAGGTCACTTACTAGTTTAATTGAGACCTTAACTACGCAACTTCGAACTTACTCACCGGTTTATCAATAAGTTTGACATGAGAGTAAATTATTCTCACTTCTTGGATCTATCAATTCGTACACTGAAAAGCAAAAGCGCGCGGAAGCGCCATTGAAGAGCTCTAAGTTTCCAACCGACAGTTTTGTCAAATCAAGATCTCACATTATTATATAGATTCTTTTGTACTAACGTTTTTCTCTTTGTGTAACTTATGTTTTTGAAGGTGTAGTAAGAGAAAGGGTGTGTCCAAAGGTGTAGGACATGAATAGGTACAGAGACAAAGTGATGTGTGGTGTCCCCAAAATCAACTCTGTTGTTAAGCATTTGTGTTTTACCAATCTTTTGGACTCATCTCTTCAATCCTTCTTTATCTTTTATTCTTCTACTCTTATTATATAATTCCTTTTGCCATTTTATTTTCTTCGTACAAAAACATACATATACATAGAATACTTGGGGACTTAATCAGGTAGCTAGATAATTATAGTTTATTTGATGCTATGTCTCATGTTGTTTATATTAAATATTAATGTGTTATTTAGAGTAAGACAGGGTTTTTTTTCTGTTTAAAGTCAACAAATAACGTACGTTTGTTAAAAAAAAAAAAAGAAAAAAAAAACAAATAACGTACATAAATGTAATTTTTGCACATGAAAACAAGTTGATAATCATTTACCTTACTAAAACATATTTAAAGCCATTTAGTGGAACTGTTCCAGTACGTACCATCCTACTATATTTATACATTTACAAGATTTGTAGTTTTGTACTATAAATTTTCCGAGATCTAAATCCTAACTCTTCAGAATCTCCAAATCCCCGATCAATCACCTCCGTGGACAGTCCATGTAGATATGGCCTCATAAGCGATTTTATTTTAGTTATCTTTAATGAGGAAAACAATGATCAGATAATATATATATATATCTATATTAATAATGTAATATAATCTGGATTTGATGTCGCTAATAACAAGATTCACACTATATTTTATTATTTTCAAAGATAATGATCTTCTTTTTTTTTATTTTAGTGAAATAACAGTCCTAAAAAAAAAAAAAAAAAAAAAAAAGAAATAACAGTCCTATTCCTGATGGGAGATGTGTTCCTTGTCTATGTATAAATTCACAAAGCCTCCGAGACACACTGTTCCCAAAAAGTTTCTCATACAAAACCTAAACCATCGCCAAGGTTTTGTAAGCTGAGGAAAAACGAAAAGATGGCAGAATACTACGACGAAGACGAAGGGATTCACTTCGATCCGACGGAGAACCAACTCATCAAAGATTATCTTTCTCCCAAGATAAACCAAGTCAAACAGTTTGACTTTATACCGGACATGGACGTTTACGCCACAGAACCATGGTTGCTTAAGCATAACATGGATCCTCTTTTCAAGAAGTACGAGTGGTACTACTTCGTGACAAGGACTCAAGTCTCTGAGTCTGAGGAGAACATCGGTCGTGGTAAGAAGGCGAAGCGGAAGATCATCGGAGACAACGGGACGTGGAAGGCAAACGCTAAAGAAAAGATCCTGGACGAGGAGACAGGGAAAATCATTGGTGAAAAGCAAACCCTAACTTTCATTAAAAGCAACAACAACAACAACAACAACAACAAGAAGAAGCAGAAGAGAGAAGACGGCACTAGTGCTACTGTTCCCGGCAGCGAGAGCAGCTGGACTATGACAGAGTATATGCTTGTGGAAGAAGATAAGTTTCAAGGAACAGTCCTGTGCAAGATCACGAGATCAAGAAGTCCAAGGACGATCATGATGAAGCTTCTGATTCTATGTCTACTTATTACCATTATCATCATCGTCGTCTTTATCTTGTGTCTTCTCCTTCGGAGCAGCAGCCTATCAATCATCAAAAGTATTATGGTTGTGCTTCTTCTTCGGAGAAGCAACCGATCATTCATCATGAGTACTCTTCTCTGGCTTCTTCTTCGGAGCAGCAGCCGACCAATCATCATGCGTACTATTCTATCGGTTCTTCTTCGAAGCACCAGCCGACCAATCATCATGCGTACTATTCCCTCGGCTCTTCTTCGGAGCAGAAGCCGACCAATTATCATGAGTACTATGGTCTCACTTCTTCTTCGGAGCAGCAGCCGACCAGTAATCATGACTACTATGCTCTCACTTCTTCTTTGGAGCAGCAGCCGAACAATATCAACTGCAAGTTTGAAGAAAACGAGAAGGACGATCATGAAAACCCTATTTCTCATCATCAAGAATTTGGTCCAGCTTCCTCTTCGGAGAACCAGCTCATCAATGAAGCTCATAGTCAGGGTCAGGAGACTCCGAGCATAGGATCAGAAAAGAATGATCAAGTGATCTCCAGCCAAATCCAAGAGAATGACAAGTCCAAGAACGAGGAGGATCATCCTGAAACTATCAATTACCATCAGCGTCTTGAGTCTTCTTCCTTGGAACAGCAGCAGCTATCTATCAGTGAAGTTCATCGTCATGATCCGGAGACTCCCCTCACAGGATCAGCAAATAGCGATCAAGAGATGAAAACTTCTTGTCTGACTGATGATGAAACTGCTACAGTAAAAGAGAGAGAGACAGAGGAGAAGGGTTTAGAAAGATTTGAGAATTTGGGATCGGAAGAGGATAACCGACTTAACTTTAATGTTCCAAACCTTTGTGGGTGTGATGATGAGGAACATGATGAGAAGAAAAAGCTGAAGAAGAAGAAGAAGCTGAAGAAGATCAAACATGCTGGATCAGAAGATGAAGAAGATCATCAAGGAGGATGGTCGTTTCATAATTTTTCGAAATTGTTGATAACACTGAATGGTCCGAATTTGCCTGAAGTAACCGACGGGGCTCTGATTGACACTACGGCGTCATTTCTCGATCCGGATTTGCTTATGCCGTTTGCTTCTCCCAGGCCACGCGAATAGCTCTCAAATAGAGGAATCTGAAGGCTGCATGCAGATTTTAGTTAGCATAATGTTTTTATTTGGATTTTTTTATAGATATTTGTATTTCAATTTTCATTAGGTTCGTTTTCTCATTAACTTAAAATACTCATTTTTTTTCAAAAAATAACACAGAAGTTACATGTTTTTAGCTTTTCAAGCGTGTTTTTAATGAGGAGGACAGAGTTTTGTCATCGTCGAGAAGATTATCAAAGTTAGCAACAACGGATGCTTGAGAAGGAAGTAACCGTCTTTTCCCGATTAAAATGTTATTTTTCTTTTTTGATAATTAGGGTTGAGAGAATATGTACATCAGTGATCGGATTAGACATGCGTGTTGGTCTTTGGCACAATAATTTTTTTTATTATTTTCTTCATTCAACAAGAAGTCGCACGCCGCTTCGGTGCACGGAGGGGGCGATTGAGCCATGCCTGTCGAGAGGATGAGCATGAGAACACAAACAACGTTAACACAAATCTTCAGATTAATTTCTAGAGATGAATTAGAGAAAAGAAATTGTCTTGTAGTAGTTCGATGATCGTGTGAGTCTGAGAGAAGAAGATTATATAGCCACAATCCACATATTTGAGAAATATCATAAAATAATTCATTTAATAATTGTGGGCCAGTTGCATAATGAAAAAGAAACTTATGATTAAGAAAAATGAGAATTCAACTTACTGTTTGTAACATGTGAGTCATGTAATCAAGTAAGTTATGGCTACTGATTTTGTAGAACGTAGGTGAAATAAAAAAGTTAATAGGGTTGATTAGCAAGAAAGAGTGATACTACAAAGAATGATAACCAATATACCTATGATTTTTAGATGCTAATTTGTTTACTTTTTGCTTATATTTTACTTATATTTTGCTTATATTTTACTCTTTTTTTGTCAATCTATATAATGTTTTGAATGGATAGCTACAGTAATTGATTTTTCAGTACAAATGCTCATATTGAATTGATAGCTGCTGTAGTAGTTTACGGAATCCATCAAAAGTCCTCTCGCTTAATCAATACAGCAAAACGACACTGTTCTCCATATGCTTGGAGTAATCATAAGTTTCAGCTATGTCATGTGTGAGAATTTGATTTCTTTTTCAAGTTGTGAGAATTTGTTGAATTTGATTTCATTACGTAAATTTTGTATATTTGATTATTGGTTATCTAAAATTGGTCGTATTCAGGACAATTTGTTGAATTAATACAAAAATCAACAAGTTGTTCGAATCAACAAAACACACGGCTTTAACAAAAAAAAAAAAATCAACAAAACACACGGCTTCAATTTCACAAACATCATCATGGCCTATTAAAAACAAGTATGGGCCAGAATATTTATAAATGGGCGGGCCCAGATCGAAACCGAGCTTTATTTTGTTCAGAATTTATTTTAACATTAAAAAAATCTCATAATAATTTAAGCTTCTCTATCAGACAAGAATATTAAGAGCATCTCAGAGATGCTGACAGACAGACTAATACGCTGTCGTTTCAACGTATCTTTCTTCAAATTCCAAAGAATTTAATTTCCACCTTTTATCTGTGAAAAAAAAGAAATAAATCTATTTAAATAGGAAATAAAATAAAAAATAAAAAATAAAAAAAATTAATCCATCTAAAAAGGCGTAAGAGGTCTGGATTCGTCAAAAAGGTCTTCCAGAATCCAAACGTCCTATGGTTTAGCTCTCGATTTCTCCTTGATTTCTTCTTCCTCCGGCTTCAAGTCGCCGGATCTTCCAGATTCCGATTCACTTGAATTTCCTCCTCCTAAAACACACGCTTCACGGTTTTCTGATTCCGTGTTTCAGGTAAAACTTCAGCTGCTGAAAAATCTCATTTCGTTTCTTAATTCATTGATAGATCCATCTCCACCGCCATTATTGTCCGCAACAGCTTCTGGGGATTCGGTTTTCTGAGTTTTGATGCTTGATTTTGTAGGGAGAGGCATATGATTGGTGTAAATTAAGGATTTCCGGCGATTTGGTGGGCGTGTGGAGAAATTTCCGAGTATAGTATTCGTAGGAAGCTTTATCTCTTTTCCTTATGTAGTTTGTTTGATTAATTTTTGAAGTGGAAAGATGGGGTTTCGATGAATTTGAAGGGATTTCGTTTTTTCGTGAAGATGAGATCGTTGGAGATTGCAAGTCATCTCATTCGCATTCACGGCTTTGCTTGAATCATAGGACTTTTGGTTGTTTAGTCTTCTGAAGAAGGTTTTAGGCTTTTAGCATTTTCAAGCGTCTGTTTTTTTCTTCTTCTCGAGCTTAGAGATGGATGAAGAGGCTTCTTCTTGGATTAGGAGGGCAAAGTTTTCTCAAACGGTTTCTTATCGTCTGAATCCGTCAAAGCTATCATCTCTCCCCTTTACGGTAAACCAAGAGAAGCCTGCCGGACTGAAAACAAGACCCCAGAGCCAGACTTCATCGTCGTCGTCATCATCATCATTGGATCCAAAGTTGGTTTCAAGCAACTCACAGAAGGCTACGGAGGATCCCGCTAGTTTGAAAGCTGATGTGTATGTTGTTGATTCGGAAATTCAGAGAAACCCGGTGACTAATAAACAGAGATCGGTTTCTCCCTCTCCTCAGATGGCTCTTCCTGATGTGTTTAAGGAAGCTAGGTCTGAGCGGAAGAGATTCTCTACTCCGCATCCAAGAAGAATGGAGTCAGAAAAGGGGATGAAGGCGAAGCTTTCCCATAAAAACTCTTTCGAGAAGAGATCTTTCAACTTACGGTCCCCATCAGTTCCTATCAGAGACTTAGGCACTCTGAGGATTCAAGAGAGGGTGAAGAGCAAGAAGGACACCGGATGGTCTAAGCTTTTTGATAACGGTGGTCGTAGAGTGAGTGCTGCGGAAGCTTCTGAAGAGTACCGCGTTGATATGTCGAAGCTCTTCTTTGGGCTGAGGTTTGCTCACGGGCTGTATAGCCGGCTGTACCATGGGAAGTACGAAGATAAAGCTGTTGCCGTGAAGCTCATCACTGTGCCTGATGATGACGATAATGGATGCTTGGGTGCTCGCTTAGAGAAACAGTTTACCAAGGAAGTCACGCTTTTGTCCCGGTTGTGCCACCCCAATGTTATTAAGGTGATTCAAGTCTCTTTGTGTTATTTTCTTTAATCCAATGTTGGTGGAATGTTTTGGGCTTAATTTTCTTGTCTTGTTTGTGTGGTAAAACAGTTTGTGGGAGCGTATAAAGATCCGCCTGTGTATTGCGTCCTCACGGAGTACTTACCTGAAGGCTCTTTGAGATCTTTTCTGCACAAGCCAGAGAACAGGTCTCTTCCTTTGAAGAAGCTGATAGAGTTTGCTCTAGATATTGCGAGAGGGATGGAGTATATTCACTCGCGGCGCATAATTCACCGGGATCTTAAGCCGGAGAACGTTTTGCTGGACGAAGACTTCCAGTTGAAGATTGCTGACTTTGGGATAGCGTGCGAGGAGGAGTACTGTGACATGTTGGCTGATGACCCGGGAACATACAGGTGGATGGCTCCTGAAATGATAAAACGGAAACCACATGGACGTAAGGCTGATGTGTACAGCTTTGGACTCGTTTTGTGGGAAATGGTCGCTGGAGCTATCCCGTATGAGGACATGAATCCTATTCAAGCTGCTTTCGCAGTCGTTCACAAGGTAAAATATTCTGTGTGTCTCTTGACTGTTTCATGATTGTAATCTTCATGTTTAGTTGTTTGAGCCATTTGAGAGCTTAAAAGTGTTGATCTTTGGTACAGAACATTAGACCGGCTATACCGGGAGATTGTCCAGCAGCCATGAAAGCTCTGATAGAGCAGTGTTGGTCGGTTGGACCGGATAAGAGACCCGAGTTCTGGCAGATAGTGAAAGTGCTTGAGCAGTTTCAGACGTCGCTGGCACGTGAAGGAAGCTTGAATCTGAGTTCGAACAAGATCTGCAAGGACCCAAGGAAAGGTCTGAAGCATTGGATTAAGAAGCTTGGACCGGCGCAGGGAGGAGGAGAAAGAGGAGGAGGCAGTAGCAGCAGCGGCCTTGGTGGCTCAGCCTTGCCTAAGCCTAAATTCGCTTGAGAGACGGTGAAGAAAGTCTGTCTCTTTTGTAAATTTATATATATGATACAGAAGAAGGGTTTTGTGTTGTAATGTGTTGTATCCTGTCCTTGTTTTGTGCGTTGTGATGTGATGTTTCATCTTTGACATCTTCTCTGGATTTGTTGTGTAATGACAAAAGCCAAACTGGGGAATTGTTGTGATTTGATGTTTATGGGATTCAAATATCGTTCTACTTTGAGTTTCTTACTTTTTGTGGAATCAAGAGAAGTAGAATTTCAAAGAAGATCTTCTCTTTATCATATGTTAGGTCACAAAATATTTGTCCAATTTCCTAATTCCTATCTTGATACAAAGAATTATGACAATCCATACAATGACAACAGAAGAATTTACAGTGTTGTATGTGTATTTGTATTAATATGTTTTTTCACAAATTGGTTTCATCTTTAAGGAGAGACTAACTGAGTGGTGTTCTCATCATCTATAATCCTCGGTAATGCAAATCTGTCTGAATCACGACCCAGGAAGCTGTGTGTAGCTGAAGAAGACGAAGAAACAGAAGCAGAAGAGCAAAGCATTGTCTCCTTCATCTCTCTCCTTATCCCCCATAGCTTTTCCACACAGTCTTTCATAGACGGACGTGGACCTCTCGTTGGTGCAACACATTCGCTCGCCAGTCTCAGCATCTTCTCAGCTACTTCAATGGCAGCTCTATTTCTCTTGAGAAACGGGTCCATTACAAGAACAACTTCATCCTCTATATGTCTCTTCAACGCCTGCAACAAGATCTCAAAACAAGTTTTTTCTTGCTTTAAAACTTTCAAGATTCTCCCAAGAAGCTTATTAGTGAAGTTACTACTAACCCATTTAACAGTGAGTCTGTCTTTTCTTGGTCTCTTTAACTCAATGGGACGTCTTCCGGTGAGAAGCTCAATGAGCAAAACACCATAAGAGTAAACGTCGCTCTTGTCAGTTAGTTGAAACGTCCTGAGATAATCTGGATCCACATACCCTGCAGATCCTTTGACCTGTGTTGAGATATGAGTAGCCTCCGAATCATCAGAGACTAAACGGGCAAATCCAAAGTCTGCCACTTTGGCTCTGAGCTTATCAGTGATGAGTATGTTTGATGCTTTAATGTCTCTGTGTATTATTGCAGTCTCTGCATATTCATAAATGATTGTTGTGATCACAAAAGATCAATAAGGAAATGGATCACAAACAAGAGTACCTGTATATGTGTGAAGATAGGTCAATGCATGAGCCACATCAATCGCAATCTCTAGACGTTCTGCCATTTCAAGACGGTTACCGCGTAAACCTACGTTTTAATAAAGTTTAGAATCCTAAAAAGATTCAAATGTTTTGTATTTGGAAACTCTCTATACTCTTAAAAGCTGTGAAGAATAAATGAAGTGTACCTCTTCTTGTAACTTACCATCTAAATGTTCTCTTAGGTTTCCATTGTTAACATATTCAACAACAATAACCTTTTCGTCTTCATGTTCAAGAAATCCATAGAGCTTTACTAAATTCATATGCTCTATCTTTGACAATGTGTATATTTCATTCTTGAACTCTGTCAACCAGCTTTTGCCATAGTTGTTCTGCCACAAAAGTTTTTTAGAACATTTTTTAATTCTTGAAGAAACTTTTCAAGAAAGAGAAAGGTTTCAAGAATCACCACCTTTCTTGCACGCTTGATAGCAACAAAAGTTCCATCATCAAGCTTTCCCTTAAAAACAGTTCCAAAACCTCCTTCGCCAATCTGATTATTAAGTGCAAAATTTGCGGTTGCTCTCTGAAGCTCCACAAAAGAAAAAATCACTGGGCCAAGTTGCCAACTTTTGCTAGAAGAAGAAGAAGAATCTTTCCCAAAGTTTTGAAATCTTGAACCAGAAAATCGGTATTGACCTGAAACCTTTCTTTCTGTTGATCTTCCAAAAGTACTTGGGGATGAATAACCAGTCCAACCTGATACTGCACCATGTGCAAGAAACAAAAAAAGATTGACATAGTAACATAAAAGAATGATATCTAATGATTTCATCCATCATGGTTTGAAACAAAGCCTTGATGGTAGGCATACATGATTAGTGCTTTAAAGATTCATGTTTCAGGAAAGATTAAATCAACACCAATATACTTACATGTAGATTCTCTGTCGTGGGTGCTGCTGATCTCTCCAGGATCAGATCTACATTCTCTTGGCTTTAAATTTCTCTGCCCTGAGAAAAGAAAAGCAAAGACTCCTACAACTTTCTTGGCTGCTCTTCTGATAGCACTGAAAGCGGAGACATTCTTTGCCTGAGCGCCAGTACCTACATCACTCCAATCATACTCAGAATCAGCTTTTTGATGTTTTCGGTTTGGGAAGAGAAGAGGTGATGGGGTTTTGCTCCTCATTGGCATATGTCTAAGACATGGTTATAGGAAGGAAGAGAAATATTATTTCTAAGATCAAAACTTCAAAAAAGAACGTTTGATGCAGTCATGAAGTTTTTCCTTTTGTTTTTTTTTTTTTGGTTAAACGCCAGATAGATATGTGCATATAATATAAGCATAATCACCCATTATTATGTGTTCTTTTAATGTGTTGTAGACCGATTCAAATAGCTTGATTGGTCTTGCAAGTTTAGCTGTTATTTTATCTTCATAGTCAATGGAAATGAGCAGTGATGGTTTGCTGAGTTTTTGTACACTTTTTGACTTTTCCCCATAAGTAGACTTGAAACTAGAAAATGACTAATTGATATAAAACCTTTATAGTCCAAGGAGAATGGAAATATAAGGAAAGAAAACTAATCACATTTTATTAAGTAACCTCTCTCTTGTCTAAGTAACAGAATCAAAAGTAATCAAAACCTACTAAAAGTCGTATCTATACTCGTTGAGAGAGCACTTAGAATTCAAGAAGTGATAAGGGCAGCGGAATCCATACCTCCGTGCTTGGGGGATTCAATCCAGAAGAAGTCTTCAGGTTGTACATAAGTTTTATGCAAGAACATTTACTAGTTCTTTTATTCTATCCAGTAGAGAAGTAGAAGTGGAGACTAACTGAACAAGATCTTCTCTTTACAAGGCGGTTCTATAATTTTTTTTTTTCTGATAGTTACTCAGGAAATGGGATGGTTACTATTTAATGCTGCAAGTTGTCTACATGATCCACCAGCAAGTCAGAAGTGTCTGTCGTGCTGGCAAGAAGGTCCACATATATAGTTGAGAATCTTAAGATGAAGGATCTTTATTTCGTGCAAATCCTTAGCCACAATCATTTAAACGATGACAAACAACAACTTAAACTTTTTTTATAGAAAAAATCCATGAAAAATATACCAAAAAGGTAAGCTACATACACCAGAAGAATGATGGATGAGACTGACATGCTGTGACAAAACTAATACTTTCACCATATATGTTGTCCAGAACTCAAAAGAGTCAAGACTCGAGATCAATTGGTGATGTTGAAATCCTTTCTCAGGTGTTACCGGAGAGTTTAGACTACATTATATTAAAAGAACCAACGGGAATTATAGTATCTCTCTTGTCCTGTAATTAGAGGACAATACATGCATGGCGAAGTAGGTTAACAAATTCACTTATACAAGAAGTGAAAATATTTTTGTCACAGTAACTGTGAGTAACACAAGAAAAAGGTGAATACAAGGTTGAATTGGGAGGAATCCATGTACATTTATCCAGCAATAGGCAGCATTTTAACGGCATTGAGTTTAAATAACGGTATTGAGCCCAAACATAAATTTATTCCATAACTTTTTGTTTTTCTTCTCGGATTTTCTTTTGTCAACTTTTGTTTTCTGATATTTCATTTGAACCAGTCACACACCAATTCAGTTAAACTCAGATGTTTTACATACTCTTTATATTGAATTTTTCGCCTTCCGGTAATTTAATTTTGAGGTTTGCCAAATACAGTAATATGTGAAATTTGACGGTTCGTTTTGATTTTAGTTTGTTTTAGACCAGTAAACAATTCTCTTTCGTATAGATGTAAAAAGAAGAAAAAACACTTCTCTTTCGTATGAACTTTTCATTTAGGTTTGTTACAAGAAAAAAAAAACACTTCATTTAGGTTTGGAATGAGCACCGTCAAATTAGACTTCTACTTGTTAGTGGACTAAGTCGTCGGAATATTCCAATCTTTATCAGAAAGAACAAAAAGAAAATCAGTACAATCACATTCGGACAAATACAATGTATTTTGGGGACCTGCTATAGTTTTTAATTGTGTGTTGTAAATCAAGCCTTGAATAAAACAACACACTCTTTAGGAAATTGTCGTAACTCCGAATCTCTATGTCACTCGTCGGTCGTTGCTGACTTGCAGTCCACAAAAGTTAAAGAAAATTACTCTCCCTTATTAAGGTGAATGTCATACAGATATGATATTCTTGGGCTATTTCTTATTGATGATAATAATCGAACTTTCTTTCAAGTCGAGATTAACTTTTGTTAGCTGAGGATGATGCAACACTTGAACAACAAACTCTAATAATTAAAAAAATTATATTAGGTCGTTTCATCAAGAAAAAAGTGTCTTGTTCAAATGTTACATCTGACTTTGCACTTAAACAAGTCGTTGCGTCAAGAAAAAATTGTCTTGCTCAAATGTTACATCTGCCTTTGCACTTAAACAACTCTTATTGCTCTGATCGAAAATCAGTCACCAATCAAAAGTTCAAAACCCTTTAATATATACAATCAAAGAAGAGAATTACACACAAAAGTTGACATTGAGCTATTGACTGATTCAAAGAGAATCCAAAGAGATGACGAAAGCAGCCAAATATTTACCTCCCAAGGTAAAAGACACAGATGCGCACGTGTTTTCACAGTTTTTAATCTATTTATTTTCTTAGGTCTATCCATTAAAAATTAATACAGTATTCAGTAATTAAGAGCCTTTTATGTTCGTCCTACAAATGCAGAGGTCAGGTCCATAATGGGAAGTGTTTGTACATTTGATTCTCTCTGCCACAGTCATGTGACATCATTATACTGTTTTCTTTTTTTTCCCCATTAACATCTAACTTAATTTTGACAAAACATAACATTTTCAGTTTACTAACTCAATTCTTTCAATTCAATTCAATTCAATTCAGTACATAAATATGCATACGAAAAAAAAAACTGTGTTATTGGATCTTAATTATACTAGAATGTAACAAATTATCATTTGTATGATCAAATGACTTTAAATTAAAACATTAAAATACTCATTCTTAGATATTTTTTTTTTCAAGTAAAATACTTTTTTTTTCTCGGTAAATAACGCATTAAGGGGAAAAAAGCTTTATTGGTGATAATAAATAAATAATATAAATGGGAAAAAAGGGTTTAAGGAAAGCGAGATTTCATAGTGTTGACAACGCTACTCTATTCTCTCTTATCGAGATCCTAAAAATGGCACTGACCCATTCAACTCCACTCTCTGCGTTTCACTGAACCCATCCTTCACCCTGAGCCATGACCCACCAAACCCAGCGCCGTCGCCGTCGTCACTCCGCCGTCTGCCACCGTCATCCCACTTCCAAACCCACCACCGGTTTCTGTGCCACCTGCCTCCGTGAACGCCTCTCCACCATCGAAGCTCTCACTTCCCCCCTCGCCGCCTCCGATCAGGTCCCTGAGCTCCGCCGTGTTCGCTCCTACTCCGTTCGCGACGCATCCGCCGCTGATTTCGACCAGCCGCGACGCAGATCGTGTGATGTTAGGTCCAACGATCGATTTGCCGACGATGACGACGAAGAGCTGCTGGAGAGCTCGATTCGGTTCCCCATGGTTCCGGATTTGAAAGAGGAGGAGGAAGAAGAAGAAGACGGAGAAGTAATTAGAGGTTTTGACGAAGGTGAACCGAGTAGGAGACTCGTGGAGGAAGAAGAAATCGAAGATGGAGAGCAGAAGACGATGAAGGAGTTGATAGATCTGGAATCGAGAAATCTACAGAGCAAGAAGAACAACAGCAAAGATATCGCTTCGGTATTTAGCAGAACGCTTAAGAAATTTTCACTCAAACATCCGAAGAACAAGAGCACATTGCAAAATCCAGACGCCGGAAATGCCCTCGGCCGTCGCTCATGCGATGTAGATCCTAGGCCTTCTCACGACGCAGGTCGAATCTCGTTCGAGGAGCCAAGAGCGTCGTGGGACGGATGCTTGATCGGAAAGACGTATCCGAAGCTGATTCCTTTGTCCTCTGTGACTGAAGACGCCAAAGCCTCTCCGGAGAAGAAACCTAAAGACGAGGAGGAGGAGGAGAAGAAACCAGGCGGGACAGCTCAGACGAGGGATTACTACTTGGATTCGCGGCGGAGGAGAAGCTTCGACCGGTCATCGAGACACGGATTGCTCGAGGTTGACGAATTGAAAGCTATCTCCAACGCTAAGGTATCACCTGAAACTGTTGGTTTGTTTCATGGAGCGAAGTTGCTTGTCACGGAGAGGGAGCTGAGAGACTCGAATTGGTACTCAATCAAGAACTACAAACCGGAGAGCTTAGAATTAGGTGGTAAAGGTGTTGGTGGTGTTGCTGCTGGTGAGGTGAAGCAAGATGGTTTTGCGTTGAAGAAGAGTGGGAAGAAATGGTCTAAAGGATGGAATCTCTGGGGGTTGATTCATAGGAAAACGGATAATGCAACCAAGAACGAAATCAAAACCGGGGAAAGCTTGAAACTTGGAGGAAATGCAGTGGATGGTTCTCTAGCTGAGTCTCTGTTGAAGCTTAGGAGAGTGGCTAAAGGAGAAAGCAACGGTGATGTTAGCGAGAAGCTCATAAGAAGCTACAGCGTTAGTGCAAGAAAGTCTTGTGATGGCATTGTTCATGGTGCTGCTTCTGTTGTTAATGGCTTTGAAGGTGGAAGAAGCTCTTGTGATGGTTTGTTCCATGGCTCTGTTGAGACAGGAAGGAGAAGTTCCTGCGAAGACGGATTGTTTCATGCCGTTGAAGGCAACCGTAATCGTCTTCTTCAGAGAGACGACGCCAAGCTTGGTACTTACTCGCCGGATAACCTCAGAAATGGTATGGTTAGATTCTACTTGACTCCATTAAAGACCCACACGACAAGCAACTCCGGGAAAACTAGGCTTATGAATTAATCTCATCTGTTATTATCGTCAGTCCAATATTGAAACTGTGTTGTAATTAGCAATTGTACCATGTTTGTTGTCACTTATCATCTCATTGTTCTATAGATATATGAAGTAAAATCACATTCCCATCTTGTTGTCTCTCCTTTTTCCTTCTACTTTGTAAGTGTACAATGGTGATTTTATTGAAAGATGTAACCTTTAAAGATATTGGCTCTGGTCAATACAACAGCCACTAAACAAAATCGAAAAGTTGGTAACTTTGATGGGAGCATAAAGCATCAACATACATTCCAAAGTGTTTAAGCCAAAACATGAATCATACCAACAATAAAGGACAAGAGCTACGTGCTTCCCAAGATCAAGAACATCGATGGTACCGTAGAACAGAAATCGGTCACTCAAAGTTTTGTACTTTCCGCTACAATCTAAAAGGATAACACTTGTACGAGTGGTTGAATCTTCAATCTAACCGACACACAGACTAAATTACACATGGTTTTTTTTCTTGACAACCCTTATTCAAGATCATACCCTTTCTCTTGAAGTTCAGTCATGACCTCATTCCTCATCCTCATCCACAGCTTCTGAGCCTCTTTGTCAAACCTCTTCTTCTCCATCTCTTTCTGGTAGTTATCAGCATCACCTTCAGACTCAACAATCCCTTTAGGCCCAATCGACGTACCCATCATCCCTCCCTTTGCAACAAAATCCTCCATGGCCTCTGTGTCGCCTGGATAAGGAAACTGACGCCGCTCATACAGATGAGCCAACTCTCTTTCCTCCTTTGGTCTCGGCTTCAACGTCCACCAACCTAAAGGAGACGTTTCATTGTAAATCCATGCGAGGCCAAAGACTGTGTAGGTGCATAGCAATGCTTTCCCCACTTGTTTCCAAAAGAACATGTCGTCACGCCCAAATCCAACCTTCTTCAGGTACTTGTTGGCATCTATCGACTTCAATGCCTCTATTCCTGTTACACACAAGAGAAATAACCAACCGAGTCAAAATGAGCTAAAAATGATGCCTTTCAGGCATTTCATCGAACACCTTACATGACGCTACCAACATGTAAAAGTGAAACCTTTACAAAACCCCACAATATACGGAGATATACACGAATATAGGACAGAAATTTCACGGATTTCAACATTAATTCTACCGACGAATATAACACGGAGAGAAAAAAAAAAGGAGATTAGATTGGGAATGAAGTAAATGATGGTAGAAACATCATACCCGTTTTAGCCTGTTGAAACTGTTTGCGCACCATCTTCTTCGCCGGAGAGCTAAGAGCTACGACCAAGCTTCCTGAAGATGATGATCAATGAGCTAAGCCCAGCGACATTGGCACTTTGCAGAAATTAAAGTCGAAATGAAGAGAACACGATCTCACACTCACACAGAAAGTCTCTAATTAAACGCTGTCGTTTGTAAAGATATTGGGCCTGTTAAATTGTTCTGGGCCTTGTTATCTACAATAATGAATCGACAACGTTGTAGGCTTGTTTAGTAGCAATGTAGCATTAAGTCAAATATTATGTAACGTTGGTTTGGAAAAAAAAAAATAATAATAACATTGGGACCATAATATTTTATTATTCTAACAAGATTATTAATTTATCGAAAGATAATTGAACCAGATACTTAATTCGGGATTTGAAAATTCTATTGATTTATCGATGTATTACTTTATAGAGGTTCTACTGTATACTGTATACAGTATAAGCCTACAATTTTATCTTTTCTTTATTTTGGTCAAAAATCTAAGCCTACGATTTATTATATTAATTTGTGAATAAATCATTTTCCTAGAGGATTATATAATTGGATTAGATGAGCTGTTATATAACAACCAAAAGGTTGCTTTTAGCTCACCTTTCAAACGAATAATTGTACTTCCATGTCAATGAGTCGATGACCATATATGTATTTTGATCTACTTTATATCCGGCCCCTATTTATAGATGCATAGTTAACTTTATTAGATCGATATTATTATAGATGACCGATTTACATTTTAAATAAAACTATTTCCGACAGTTCGAAAAATAAGACGTGTGTACAACATCTAAACTCCTACTATCGTTAGTCACATGTCTATGTATATTAATTTCTAAATATAATTTGTCACAATTTTTTAGAAGCATGTGTTTACTATTACAAACAGATTAAAGCAAGATGTATACAAGTGTAAAAGTAAAAAGTCTATTAGGTTAATTAATTAGCTCGTCATGCACCTTTGTTGTGAAGGAATATGCTTTGTTATCAAGTCGAAACACGTTTGATTGGCGTTTACGTTTACGTTTACGTTTACAAGTTACAACTAATAAACAAATTTTACTAAAGATGTTTAAGCTAAAATTATTTTAAAAATAAACATTAACACGAACGTAATAGAGTAATCATAGTCATATTTGTTATTGCAAAATAATTCGATTAATTAGACCATAGGTTTAGCACATCTTTAACTTTAACTTTAACTAAACTCGACTAATTAGACCCAAGCAAAGAGATATGAACGAACAAGTGTGGGTGAGTTTAGTTAGATGGAGGATGGGGTTAACTTTAACCTAGATACGGTTGGGCCAGCAGATCACCTAAGCCCTTTTGACTTGTAAACACATCTCATACCTCCTTAATGTTCAATTTTACACTCAATCTATTTTGTTATTAAACAGTTTAATTTAAAAACTTACTATATTTGATCTCCCTTGAATCTAATTAAGTATTGAAGCAACTCTTTCTTCTTCCGGTGCGTTCCCTTCAAAGAGCTTCCATTTCACGAGTCCTCCTCCAACCTAACAAGTAAAAACGACATCGCATCAGTTTTCTACATACCAAAGCTATTACTTTCTTTCATAGCTCACACATGTGTATATATACACACTACTAAAAACCTTAACAAAGATCAAGACAAAAAGATTAAGAGGTACTTATGGAGATTCCAAGACGATTTTGCGTATGCGTCCTAATGCTTTTTGTTATCTTTCTTTTTTCGCCAACCACCGTTCACTCCGTGATACGACATTACAAATTCAATGTAAGTCTCTCGCTTATGCATATACATACATTGACAAAATGGTACGTTATTCATGGAAAAAATGCAAAGGCTATGTCTATAGACTCTCTACGTACACTTAGACAATTTGGAAATTAGATCCCTAATTATTTTCTTTTTTTGGGTATGATATAGCTTAAAGTAGTAGTTAATTTGCATCATGATTCATACGTATTGACGGTTGGATTTAAATGTATGCATGGCCAGGTGGTGATGACGAACACCATGAAGCTGTGCTCGTCGAAGCCTATAGTCACCGTCAATGGCCAATTTCCGGGCCCCACCATTGTTGCAAGAGAAGACGACACCGTTTTGATCAAAGTAGTGAATCACGTCAAGTACAACGTCTCCATCCACTGGTGAGCAACCTCAAACAAACCTTTTTAGATATTAGTACAGATGAAAACAACCTTTGAATGTCCGTCTCTTACTTCACAGCAACCCCATAATTTAACATACCAATTAGAGTCAATAACTAACTAACAATAACGGTATGATATTGATACATATGTGTAGGCACGGGATAAGACAATTGAGGACAGGTTGGGCAGATGGACCGGCTTACATAACACAATGTCCGATCCAACCGGGACAGAATTATATCTATAAATTTACATTGACCGGTCAACGAGGAACCCTATGGTGGCATGCTCACATCTTGTGGCTACGTGCTACAGTGCACGGCGCCATTGTGATCTTACCTAAGCTCGGTGTCCCGTACCCTTTCCCCAAGCCGTACAAAGAGAAAACCATTGTTCTTGGTGAGCTACTAAATTCAAAACACAATTTTCTTGTATTGATTGACTGAATGGTTATCATCACATACACACAATTATAACAGTTTTTATATAATCTATAGGTGAATGGTGGAAATCGGACGTGGAACAACTTATAGACGAGGCTTCAAAAATTGGAACAGCTCCTAACGTCTCTGATGCACATACCATCAATGGCCAGTCTGGCCCCATCTCTAATTGCCCTTCCCAAAGTAATTATTTAGCAATTTACCCTAAAATCATTAACCACTTTTACTTGAGTGCCAAGTGGTTCTGTTGCACATTTGAACCTGACCAAACATACCAAAAAAGTAATGCATTATTGCACTACCGTTTTTAGTATGCCTTTTGTAACTTTATAACCCATGCAGAAACTTGGTATTATTTTATACAAATTTAATGATTTTTCCCCTAATTGGTAGGTGCATACGGTTTACCGGTGAGACCAGGAAAGACATACATGTTACGGATCATCAACGCGGCGTTAAACGAAGAGCTCTTCTTCAAAATTGCTGGTCACAAGCTAACAGTTGTTGAAGTCGATGCTGCTTATACCAAACCGTTCAAAACCGACACCGTCCTCATCGCACCGGGACAGACTACAAACGTTCTCTTAACAGCAAACGCAAACGCTGGTTCCAAATACATGGTCGCCGCCACAACGTTTATGGACGCTCCAATCTCCTTCGACAACGTCACCGCCACCGCCACTCTCCACTACATAGGCCACACCGTTTCCTCCTCCAAGAAAACAGTTCTTGCATCGCTTCCGCCGCAAAACGCAACGTGGGTCGCGACCAGATTCACTAACTCGTTAAGGAGCTTGAACTCCCTCGAGTATCCGGCTGGGGTTCCAACCACCGTCGACCACTCCTTGCTCTTCACGGTAGGTCTCGGCGCCAACCCTTGCCGAAGATGCAGCAGCGGTGTTCGCATAGTGGCAGGAATAAACAACGTGACGTTTACTATGCCTAAGACCGCTCTTCTCCAAGCTCATTTCTTCAACATTCCTCACGTGTTTACCGATGATTTCCCCGCGAAGCCCTTGAATCCGTATAACTATACGGAGACACTAGATCAAAGCGTTAATGCGGCGACGATGAAAGGTACAAAGCTTTACCGGCTTCCGTACAACGCGACGGTGCAAATCGTTCTTCAGAATACAGCGATGATCTTGTCGGAAAACCATCCAATACACCTTCACGGGTTTAACTTTTTTGAGGTTGGTAGAGGTTTGGGGAATTTTAACCCGGAAAAGGATCCGAAAATGTTCAACTTGGTGGATCCGGTAGAGAGAAACACCGTTGGAGTTCCAGCCGGTGGTTGGACTGCCATTAGATTCATCGCCGACAATCCAGGTATACAAATTTATAATATTGGTTGTTTTTAGTCGTTTAGAAATATAAAAAGTTGATAGTCTTGTTGACATTACTTTTCTTACGAATATTATGTTTTCGTATTTATATTCTTGTAGGCTAGTAGCGAATATTATTATCTGACTAGGTCCAACTTGCTGCTTAGATAAAGTTTTTCTTTGTGCTAATTAATTTGTTTATAAACATTTGAAGGGGTATGGTTCATGCATTGTCACTTGGAAATCCATACAACTTGGGGATTAAAGATGGCATTCGTCGTCGACAACGGTCACGGCCCTGACCAGTCACTGCTTCCTCCACCCGCCGATCTTCCCAAATGTTAGGATTCTTTTTGGAATTTTTGCAGAATTTATATTTTGAGTTTCTTTTGGGAAATTAATGGTTGGAATATGGTGGATGAGTTACAGTATTTTTTTGTAGTATGTAATAAGAAAAAAAAGATAGAAGGGAAATTTTATATTATTCTTTTCATACGTACTCTTTTTTTATCTTCTTTTTTTGCTCAACTAATAATCATAGTTCCTTGGATCTGCTAGGCCTCGTTTATTTCCTTTTTTGGATTGTTTCCGTTGCAACTTGGTAAAATCATACCGTGCACGACGAAATGTGACTACGTATGAACCATTTAAATGTAGATGTTGAACGGTGATGAGTTCATAAGCAACGATTCAAATGGATCCTTACACATATGGAACCATTTACGTGTGTATTATGATTATCCAGGTATTCTGGAATCACAATTTCCATGAAAATTATCATAATAATTTATCATGCGAAAATAAACCAAATTGTCAGGGAATTGATTCCAAAAGATTTTGGCTGTTTCATCCATTTCGCAAGACGTTTGTCCCTTGGTGCACTAAAAGATCATTTTGATTTTAATCTTTGTTTAAACAGATTTCTGACTTATTCCTTGTTTGAAATGATACTCTAAATTAATAACAATGTTAAAATATTTAAATGAATAAAAAAGTATTTAAATCGGAAGACTTCTATTAATGGACTGGAGAATATTATTAGTTGTACCAAAAATGGCAAAAACTACTAGTCAATTAGTGCC